CCCCAAAACCCCAAAACCCCAAAACCCCAAAACCCCAAATTATTTTCATAAAGGAAATTATTCAAAATGAACACATATCGGTCGGAGAGGCTCCTCCTCAGTCCAAATCCTAAGAGGATTGGCTCAAGTTTCGTAGAGTTCGAGAGCGAAGTGAATAAGATCAAAGAGAACGGCAAGAAGTTTATCCAAAATATCCGTAAGAGGTCTTACATCTCTCCTCAAGCTTCGAGGAACAACCCGTTCCTGATGCCTAGGAAAAATCGGAACTTAGCACAGAGGACCTTTATCGAACGGGAGCCAGCAAAGCCACCAGTGATAAAATAAGACACCTTCATTCCTTGAGCCAGGAAACTTTTTCCTCACAGGGAAGTACAAGAAGTAAAATTTCGTTTCACATTCTAGGTTGATTCATAAAACAATCTATCAGAGATTCAGCAACCGGCCAAGTGGCAAAAACCTGACTGTGACAAATAGAACTGGCGAAGCCAGATCTATTTCACGAATCAAATAGAGATATTTCGGACAAAATTGAAGAAATAGTCAACTCTAGAGAAAAACAAGAGATTCTCAAAAGAAGTATCAAGGACATTAAACGAAATAAAATTGTACAAAATGAGGTAAATTCCTTGCCTAAATTCTGTAGAGATCTACTGGCACTAGCCGTGTTTGGAACCTTAATGCTCTGATGAGTCCTTTCAAACCCCCAAGAAAGCAGTATTACACTAGAAATAGCACTGAACGGATTAAGAGAGCTACAAAGAAGAAAAAGGAACTTGATCTCAGGAAGCGTCTGCAGATGATCCTTCTTTCAAAAAGATGGGTAATTCACCGTAAAGCCAGGAAATACAACTCTTCACTAAATTCGAGTCGTCAAAGAAATAATAGTGACCTAAAGACGGGACCCAGCTGATAGACTTGGCTACTCTAGGTTGTAATTAAGCCTAAGAATTTCTGCTAAAACTGCAAGGAAATTATAAAACAACCCAGATGATTAGTTCAGACCATTTTTAATAAATTTATTCCCAATTTCAATTTTTGGAGAAATTAAGGGGTTTTGGGGTTTTGGGGTTTTGGGGTTTTGGGGTTTTGGGG